CTTCACAAAATAGATGGCATCATGAGGAAAGAAAATTATGTGGATATATTGAAGCAACATCTCAAGACATCAGTCAGGAAGTTAAAGCTTGGTCGCAAATGGGTCTTCCAAATGGACAATGACCCCAAGCATACTTCCAAAGTTGTGGCAAAATGGCTTAAGGACAACACAGTCAAGGTATTGGAGTTGCCATCACAAAGCTCTGACCTCATCCTATAGAACATTTGTGGGCAGAACTGAAAAAGTGTGTGCGAGCAAGGAGGCCTACAAACCTGACTCAGTTACACCAACTCTGTCAGGAGGAATGGGCCAAAATTCACCCAACTTATTGTGGGAAGCTTGTGGAAGGCTACCCGAAACGTTCAACCGAAGTTAAACAATTTAAAGGCAATGCTACCAAATACTAATTGAGTGTATGTAAACTTCTGATCCACTGGGAATTTGATGAAAGAAATAAAAGCTTAAATAAATCATTCTATCTGCTATTATTCTGACATTTCACATTCTTAAAATAAAGTTGTGATCCTAACTGACCTAAGACAGGGACTTTTTACTAGGATTAAATGTCAGTAATTGTGAAAAGCTGAGTTTAAATGTATTTAGCTAAGGTGTATGTAAATTTCCGACTTCAACTGTATATACACACACATACACACACACACACACACACACATACACCACACACACACACACACACACACACAAAAATAAAGTGCCTTCGGAAAGTATTCAGACCCCTTGACTTTTTCCACATTCTGGTAGGTTACAGCCTTATTCTAAAATTGATTAAATAGTTTTTTCCCCTCATCAATATACACACAATACCCCATAATGACCAAGCAAAAACATGGAATTTAGAAATTGTTGCTAATTTATAAAAAAAATAAAAAAATGTTTTTTAAAAATGTGTTATATTTACATAAGTATTCAGACCCTTTACTCAGTACTTGGTTGAAGCACTTTTGGCAGCGATTACAGCCTTGAGTTTTCTTGGGTATGACGCTACAAGCTTGGCACACCTGTGTTTGGGGAGTTTCTCCCATTCTTCTCTGCAGATCCTCTCAAGCTCTGTCAGGTTGGGTGGGGAGAGTTGCTGCACAGCTATTTTCAGGTCTCTCCAGAGATGTTCGATCGGGGTCAAGTCCAGGCTCTGGCTGGGATACTCAAAGCCATTCAGAGACTTGTCTCGAAGCCACTCCTGCGTTGTCTTGGCTATATGCTTAGGGTCGTTGTCCTGTTGGAAGGTGAACCTTTGCCCCAGTCTGAGTTCCTGAGCACTCTGGAGCAGGTTTTCATCTAGGATCTCTCTGTACTTTGCTCCATTCGTCTTTGCCTCCATCCTGACTAGTATCCCAGTCCCTGCCGCTGAAAAACATCCCCACAGAATGATGCTGCCACCACCATGCTTCACCGTAAGGATGGTGCCAGGTTTCCTCCAGAAGTGACGCTTTGCATTCATACCAAATAGTTCAATCTTGGTTTCATCAAACCAGAGAATCTTGTTTCTCATGGTGGTCTGAGAGTCTTTAGGTGCCTTTTGACAAACTCCAAGCGAGCTGTCATGTGCCTTTTACTGAGGAGTGGCTTCCATCTGGCCACTCTACCATAAAGGCCTGATTGGTGGAGTGCTGCAGAGATGGTTGTCCTTCTGGAAGGTTCTCCCATCTCCACAGAGGAACTCTAGAGCTCTGTCAGAGTGACCAAGGACCTTCTCCCCTGATTGCTCAGTTTGGCCGAGTGACCAGCTCTAGGAAGAGTCTTGGTGTTTCCAAACTTCTTCCATTTAAGAATGATGGAGGCCACTGTGTTCTTGGGGACCTTCAATGCTGCAGAAATTGTTTGGATACCCTTTCCCAGATCTGTGCCTTGACACAATGCTGTCTTGGAGCTCTACGGACAATTCCTTCGACCTCATGGCTTGGTTTTTGCCTTATATAGACAGTTATGTGCATTTCCAAATCATGTCCAATCAATTGAATTTACCACAGGTAGAAACATCTATGCAATCCGGTTTCCGAGCTGGTCATGGGTGCACCTCAACCACGCTCAAGGTCCTAAACGATATTATAACCGCGATCGATAATAGACAGTACTGTGCAGCCGTCTTCATCGACCTGGCCAAGGCTTTCGACTCTGTCAACCACCGCATTCTTATTGGCAGACTAAATAGCCTTGGTTTCTCAAATGACTGCCTCGCCTGGTTAACCACCTACTTCTCAGATAGAGTTCAATGTGTCAAATCGGAGGGCCTGTTGTCTGGACCTCTGGCAGTCTCTATGGGGGTGCCACAGGGTTCAATTCTTGGGCCGACTCTTTTCTCTGTGTATATCAATGATGTCGCTCTTGCTGCTGGTGACTCTCAGATCCACCTCTACGCAGACGACACCATTTTGTATACATCTGGCCCTTCATTGGACACTGTGTTAACAAACCTCCAAACGAGCTTCAATGCCATACAACACTCCTTCCGTAGCCTCCAACTGCTCTTAAACACTCGTAAAACTAAATGCATGCTCTTCAATCGAACGCTGCTGGCACCCGCCCACCCGACTAGAATCACTACCCTCGACGGGTCTGACCTAGAGTATGTGGACAACTACAAATACCTAGGTGTCTGGTTAGACTGTAAACTCTCCTTCCAGACTCACATTAAGCATCTCCAATCCAAAGTTAAATCTAGAATCGGCTTCCTATTTCGCAACAAAGCCTCCTTCACTCATGCTGCCAAACATGCCCTCGTAAAACTGACTATCCTACCGATCCTTGACTTCCGCGATGTCATTTACAAAATAGCCTCCAACACTCTACTCAGCAAATTGGATGTAGTCTATCACAGTGCCATCCGTTTTGTCACCAAAGCCCCATATACTACCCACCACTGTGACCTGTACGCTCTTGTTGGCTGGTCCTCAGTACATATTTGTCGCCAAACCCACTGGCTCCAGGCCATCTATAAATCACTGCTAGGCAAATCTCCGCCTTATCTTAGATCATTGGTCACCATAGCAACACCCACCCGTAGTATGCATTCCAGCAGGAATATCTCACTGGTCATCCCCAAAGCCAACACCTCCTTTGGCCGCCATTCCTTCCAGTTCTCTGCTGCCAATGACTGGAACGAACTGCAAAAATCTCTGAAGCTGGAGACTCTTATCTCCCTCACTAACTTTAAGCATCAGTTGTCAGAGCACCTTACCGATCACTGCACCTGTACACAGCCCTTTTGAAATTAGCCCACTCAACTACCTCATCCCCATATTGTTATTTATTTTGCTCATTTGCACCCCAGTATCTCTATTTGCACATCATCTCTTGCACATCTATTAATTTCACTGTTAATACTAATTGTAATTATTTTGCACAATGGCCTATTTATTGCCTTACCTCCATAACTTACTACATTCGCACACACTGTATATATATTTTCTGTGGTATTTTTGACTTTATGTTTTGTTTTACCCCATATGTAACTCTGTGTTGTTGTTTTTATCGCACTGCTTTGCTTTATCTTGGCCAGGTCGCAGTTGTACATGAGAACTTGTTCTCAACTGGCTTACCTGGTAAAATAAAGGTAAAAAAAATAAAAGGATGATCAATGGAAACAGGATGCACCTGAGCTAAATTTAAAGTCTTATAGCAATGGGTCTGAATGCTTATAAGGTATTTCTGTTTTTCATATTTTATAAATTTGCAAACATTTCTAAAAACCTGTTTTCGCTTTGTCATTATGGGGTATTGTGTGTAGATTAATGAGGATTTGATTTGATTTAATCAATTTTAGAATAATGCTGTAACGTAACAAAATGTGGAAAGGGGTCTGAATACTTTCTGAATGCACTGTATATCTTTTTAATATATATTTTCCTTGATTATTTTCCCCTAACCCTACCACCCCTCCACTAATTGGAGTGAACTAATGGACAACAACACTTAAACATTTTCTTGTTTGCTTATGGCCCTATACAGCTCGTTGAGTGCTGTCTTAGTGCCAGCGTCGGTTTGTGGTGGTAAATAGACAACTACGAAAAATATAATTAGTATGGTCTACAGCTTATCATGAGGTATTCTAACTCAGGCGAGCAGAACCATGAGACTTAATATTAATATCCTCCTGGAATTATCTGTGCAAATCATTTTGTGATGAGAGGTGTGTTTTATTACTAAGCCTAGTTATCAGATCTTTACCTTGATATCCAGATTGGCTTTCATTATTTTGTTGAACAGCTAATTTACCAAGGGAATGTTGTTATACGAATATGTCACTACAGTATTGTCCTAATACTCTATCATCATTAGTAATAAAAACAGCCCGGAAGTCAGAGAGGAAAATCTAATCATATTCTCCTGGATCTGTTGTGGGGGATGTCTGTCCTTGGGGACCTGACAAGCTTTGTAGAGCAGCCACTCACTCTTTTCTCTCATTACTAACAGCACCACAAGAACTGCTATCCTATTAACATAGCACTGATATATTAACACAAGTTGCACTGATCTCCCAGAGATGGAGTAGGAGGATATAAGAGAAAACAAAAGGACTGTGCACAACGCTAAGACAAGAGACATTCCCTCCAATTTTATTGTCAGCCTACACACTCTCTGTTTGTATTTGAGCAATGACTGAATACTCTTCTAAGAATTTCAAATATGAAAAGACACGCATCATCTTTATTCTTTGGTTAGTGGTGACTAGCCCGTATATGCCCAGCTTCTGTTATTATTGTCATGGGGTCTACTACTTATTGGAGGCTAGGCATATCAGGAACAAGCGTTGACATGGTAACCCCAAAATCCTGATGCAGACTCTGACTTCAGTGTCCCCGTTACAAGTATATAGTGTAATACATACGTCGTTCCAAGGTTGCTACTGATAGAAGGCAAACTGTAGTTATCTATAATGATAACTATCCTTTCTCCTCCTACAGGCCAACCTTCCTCTCTGACCACCAGTCAGCCAGACACAAGTCCCGGGGTTCTTAAGGTTCTCATGACCACAGCTCCACATGGCCTGCATCACCGAGACGCGCGTCCCGTCCCCCTCTCTCTCCGAGTTCAACACCCCCCTCTCAGAACACACCCCTCCCTTCCGGGGACGGCTGGAAGAGTCCCCCGCCTGCACCCCTGAGATGGACCTGACCCCCACCCAGTGTGTCCTGCGGAATGTACTATCCATCGACACCGGGGGTGCTCCGGTGCCTGAGGGCGGGGGAGGTGGAAGAGGTGGCCATAATGAAGAACACACCTGCGGGGGACACAGCCCCACGCCGAGCGAAGAACAGCAGGAGTACTTTGCCAACAGCGTGCTGAAACTCCATGAGAATGGGGAAGGAGGGGGGAGGACAGAGGGAGAGGGCCAGGACGCAGAGGGAGGGGCAGTCCGGAGCAAGGCTGATGATGTGAGACTGCTGTCGGGAGGAAGTGGAGGGTTTCTGGAGGGACTGTTTGGGTGTCTAAAGCCAGTCTGGACCATGATCGGCAAGGCCTACTCCACCGAACACAAACACAATTTGGAAGGTAAGAAGAGAGATAGGGATTGTAGTTAGGGTCAGGAGCTTCTCCTGACCACATGACTTGACCAGGAAACAATACAAATATTGACCCTTCTTGCACACTATTGTGTGTGATCACAATTTGAACAGATGTAATGATAGCTTTTTGGTATGCCTTTTCAGAAAATGCTTGCTTTTAAAGACATGCTCTGGAATTGTGGCGACTAGTAAATATTTTTTCAACCTACCGCTTTGGGCTGGATGTGTCAATGAGTAGTTCATACATGCATAATCTATGAGCAGAATTACTGGCTTACCTCAGCTAGCCACGAAATCCCTAGTTTGAAAGCGACTGTTTACTGGAAGCAGTGCGGCACCATTTTCCCTACATTTTCCCCCAAGTGGGCCAGCCCCCTAGCAATTCGAGTTCCAGCCAATGAGCTTTAGCCCCTTGCCATTTGAGTGACAGCTAGCAAGATGCACACACAGTAGAGTGAGCGAGAGAGTGCAATGATGTGGTGCACATATCTGCACATATGTGACGTAGTACACAATTTTCAGGGATCACTTTTGGCTCGTGAGCATTACTTTCAGAACTACTGGCTAAAAAGAATACAAAAGTACTGAAGAATCTCTTTAAGTATGGATGAAAGCGTTGATACACAACAAAAGTATGTGGACCCCTGCTCGTTAAACATCTCATTCCAAAATCATGGGCATTAATATAGAGTTGGGCCCTCCTTTGCTGCAATAACAGCCTCCACTCTTCTGGAAAGGCTTTCCACTAGATGTTGGAATGAGGGGACTTGCTTCCATTCAGCCACAAGAGCATTAGTGAGGTCGGGCACTGATTTTGGACGATTAGGCCTGGCTCGCAGTCAGCATTCCAATTCATCCCAAAGGTGTTCGTGAGGTTGAGGTCAGGGCTCTGTGCAGGCCAGTCAAGTTCTTCCACACCGATCTCGACAAACCATTTCCGAATGGACCTCACTTTGTGCACATGGGCATTGTCATGCTGAAACAAGAAAGGGCCTTCCCCAAACTGTACAGAATCATGTTGAATGCTGTAGCGTTAAGATTTCCCTTCACTGGAACTAAGGGGCCTAGCCCGAACCTTGAAAAACAGCCCCAGACCATTATTCCTCTTCCACAAACTTTACAGTCGGCACTATGCATTGGGGCAGGTAGCATTCTCCTGGCATCCGCCAAACCCAGATTAGTCCGTCGGACTGCCAGATGGTGAAGCGTGATTCATCATTCCAGAGAACGCATTTCCACTGCTCCAGAGTCTAATGGCGACGAGCTTTACACCACTCCAGGTGACGCTTGGCATCGCGCATGGTGATCTTAGGCTTGTGTGCAGCTGCTCGGCCATGGAAACCCATTTCATGAAGCTCCCAACTAACAGTTATTGTGCGGACAATGCTTCCAGAGGCAGTTTGGAACTCAGTAGTAAGTGTTGCAACCGAGGACAGACGATTTTTAAGCATTGGAAATACTTTTAGCGGATGATCTGCTTCTGTTCTGTGGGTGGCACTGTGTGCTGTTTTCGAAGGATGGGTCCTGGCCCCTCGGGGGGCCTAGGGATCCGGGGGGACGGGAGTGGTCTGCCGGTCACTGGGAAGACGGCCCAACTTGGGATGGGGGATTTAGCGGGTGGAATAGTGGAGAACAATTGGAGGGTTACTTAGTAGCAATGCAAATATCATTGTACAGCTATATGGACACTCAATCACAATGGTACTTTTTAATGGTACATTTACAAACATATAGTATGATAAATAGGTATTAGGTGAAATAAGTATAGCCAGTTATAATTGTAATGGCTTAGCAGATAATAAGAAAAGAAGAACAATATTTACCTTGCTAAAAGAGAAGGAATATAATATCTATTGTTTACAGGAAACTCATTCAACAATTTTTTGTGTGGAAAAAGGACTGGGGGGCGAAATATACTTTTCCCATGGGAAAGAAACTCGAAAGGGGTGATGATATTAATTAACAGTAATTTTGATCCGAATGTGCAAATTGTCCAAACAGATCCGCAAGGTAAATAGATGATTTCAAAAATGTTATTGGACCATAAACAGATATGGCTCATTAACCTTTACTGACCAAATAATGATGATCCACGCTTCTTTGAAAATATATACACTACTCGTTCAAGGGTGTTTCTTTATTTTTACTATTTTCTACTTTGTAGAATAATAGTGAAGACATCAAAACTATGAAATAACACATATGGAATCATGCAGTAACCAAAAAAGTGTTAAACAAATCAAAATATATTTTATATTTGAGATTCTTCAAATAGCCACCATTTGCCTTGATGACAGCTTTGAACACTCTTGGCATTCTCATTCCATCTCCTTTAACCGAAGCTAATAATATGGATTTTGTTTCTATTCATATTGTAAAATTAACAACCATACAGAAAGACTAATGTGAAGGCGAAATTACAGAGGAGGAACTTCTTGATGCAATTAAATCCTTTAAGTCCGGGAAAACTCCAGGGCTGGATGGCATACCAGTTGAGGTATACCAAACCTTTTTTGATATACTCAGAGGACCGTTATTAGCATGTTTTAACAACTCCTATGTAAATGGTAGATTATCAGACTCTCAACAAGAGGGGCTGATTTAATTATTACTGAAACAGGATACAAGTGGGAAATATAAAGATCCAGTCCATTAAAAAAATTGGAGGCCCCTTACACTTCAGTGTTGCGATGCAAAACATCTAGCAAAATCTATAACGCATAGAATTAAAAGGAATTGTCGCACAATATTCATTCTAATCAGACAGGTTTTATACATGGACAATACATTGGAGATAATATAAGGCAAGTACTGGAAACAATAGAACACTATGAAAAATCTGGGAAACCAGGCCTGCTATTAATAGCTGACTTTGAAAAGGCTTTTGATAAAGTACGACTGGAGTTTATATATAAATGCCTGGAACATTTCAATTTTGGAGAATCTCTTATAAAATGGGTTAAAATCATGTATAGTAACCCTGGGTGTAAAATTGCAAATATTGGCTACTTCTCAGAAAGTTTTAAACTGTCAAGAGGACTAGAACAAGGATGTCCACTATCGGCATATATATTTATTATGGCCATATTAAAATCAGATCCAACAATAATATCAAGGGATTAGAAATCCAGGGCTTAAAAACAAAGGTGTGGTACGCTGATGATTCATGTTTTCTTTTAAATCCAAAACGTGGGTCCCTCCACAGCCACGTAGAGGATCTAGATAATTTTTCTAACCTCTCTGGATTACAACCAAATTATGATAAATGTACTATATTACGTATTGGATCACTAAAAAATACAACTTTTACATTACTGTGTAGTTTACCAATAAAATGGTCTGATGGTGATGTGGATATACTCGGTATACATATCCCGAAAGAAAGAAATGATCTCACTCCAATAAATGTTTATAGAAAGTTAGCAAAAATAGATAAGATCTTGCTACCATGGAAAGGTAAATACCTGTCTATTTGTGGAAATATCACCCTGATTAACTCTTTAGTAATATCCCAGTTTACCTATTTGCTTGTGGTCTTGCCTACACATAGCGAACCGTTTTTTAAATTATATGAGAAAAAAATATTCCATTTAATTTGGAACGGCAAGCCAGACAAAATTAAATGGGCCTATTTATATAATGAATATGAATTCGGAGAGTATACATTTTTAAATATTAAAGCATTAGACCTCTCACTAAAGGCTTCAGTCATACAAAAGTTATACTTAAATCTGAACTGGTTCTCCAGCAAATTAGTAAGAATGTCTCACCCTGTGTTCAAGAATGGCCTTTATCCCTTTATTCAGATTACAACCTCTCACTTTCAGTTATCTCCCAAAAATTGCTATTTTTAAAACAAGTCATAGAAAGTTGGTTGCAATTTCAATTTCATCAACCAGAAAGGACAGAACAAATAATGCAACAAATATTGTGGTTAAACTCAAATATACTAATTGATTAAAAAAAGGCATAATTTTCGTAAATTATATCATAGGTAGGACTGGTGGAGTTATGTTGCACATGCAGCTAACAAAAACATATGGAAATGTCTGCTCTACGCAAAATTACAACCAACTAATTGCAGCATTACCGCAAAAATGCAAGAGGAAAGTGGAAGGGGGAAAAAGTAAGGAACTTATCTGTCGGCCCTACATTAACGACTATCATTGGTTAAAGAAAATTCGGATAAATAAAAAAGTATACCAGTTTCATTTAAGGACCAAAAAATGGACAGCTGTGCCATATAGATTGCAAAATAGTTGGGAAGAGATTTCTGACGTACCAATTCCATGGCACAGGGTTTATGAACTGATACGCAAAACGACACAGGATTCAAAACTTTGAATTTTTCAATTTACAATATTATACAAAATTCTTGCAACCAATAGAATGTTATTTATATGGGGGATACAACCTTCCCAGCTCTGCAGAGTTTGCTGCGAAGAGACAGAATCATTAGATAATTTGTTTTGGTACTGTAGCTCAGCTGGTAGAGCACGGCGCTTGTAACGCCAAGGTAGTGGGTTCGATCCCCGGGACCACCCATACACAAAAATGTATGCACGCATGACTGTAAGTCGCTTTGGATAAAAGCGTCTGCTAAATGGCATATTTATTTATTTATTTATTTTATATTTTTTTTCAAAAAACTAAATGGGGGATTGAAAGTGATGCATTGATCTACACTACAATCTATCTGCAATATTAAAGCTGATCTAACCCCCGCTATGTGCTTCAGCAATCGGCGGTCCCGTTCTGTGAGCTTTTGTGGCCTACCATTCGCGGTTGAGCCATTGTTGCTCATAGATGCTTCCACTTCACAATAACAGCACTTACAGTGAGGGAAAAAAAGTATTTGATCCCATGCTGATTTTGTACGTTTTTCCACTGACAAAGACATGATCAGTATATGATTTAAATGGTAGGTTTATTTGAACAGTGAGAGACAGAATAACAACAAAAAAATCCAGAAAAACGCATGTCAAAAATGTTATAAATTGATTTGCATTTTAATGAGGGAAATAAGTATTTGACCCCTCTGCAAAACATGACTTAGTACTTGGTGGCAAAACCCTTGTTGGCAATCACAGAGGTCAGACGTTTCTTGTAGTTGGCCACCAGGTTTGCACACATCTCAGAAGGGATTTTGTTCCACTCCTCTTTGCAGATCTTCTCCAAGTCATTAAGGTTTCGAGGCTGACGTTTGGCAACTCGAACCTTCAGCTCCCTCCACAGATTTTCTATGGGATTAAGGTCTGGAGACTGGCTAGGCCACTCCAGGACCTTAATGTGCTTCTTCTTGAGCCACTCCTTTGTTGCCTTGGCCGTGTGTTTTGGGTCATTGTCATGCTGGAATACCCATCCACGACCCATTTTCAATGCCCTGGCTAAGGGAAGGAGGTTCTCACACAAGATTTGACGGTACATGGCACCGTCCATCGTCCCTTTGATGCGGTGAAGTTGTCCTGTCCCTTTAGCAGAAAAACACCCCCAAAGCATAATGTTTCCACCTCCATGTTTGACGGTGGGGATGGTGTTCTTGGGGTCATAGGCAGCATTCCTCCTCCAAACACGGCGAGTTGAGTTGATGCCAAAGAGCTCGATTTTGGTCTCATCTGACCACAACACTTTCACCCAATTCTCCTCTGAATCATTCAGATGTTCATTGGCAAACTTCAGACGGCCCTGTATATGTGCTTTCTTGAGCAGGGGGACCTTGCGGGCGCTGCAGGATTTCAGTCCTTCACGGCGTAGTGTGTTACCAATTGTTTTCTTGGTGACTATGGTCCCAGCTGCCTTGAGATCATTGACAAGATCCTCTTGTGTAGTTCTGGGCTGATTCCTCACCATTCTCATGATCTTTGCAACTCCACGAGGTGAGATCTTGCTTGGAGCCCCAGGCCGAGGGAGATTGACAGTTATTTTGTGTTTCTTCCAACTGTTGTCACCTTCTCACCACGATGGTCTTGTAGCCCATTCCAGCCTTGTGTAGGTCTACAATCTTGTCCCTGACATCCTTGGAGAGCTCTTTGGTCTTGGCCATGGTGGAGAGTTTGGAATCTGATTGATTGCTTCTGTGGACAGGTGTCTTTTATACAGGTAACAAACTGAGATTAGGAGCACTCCCTTTAAGAGTGTGTTCCTAATCTCAGCTCGTTACCTGTATAAAAGACACCTGGGAGCCAGAAATCTTTCTGATTGAGAGGGGGTCAAATACTTATTTCCCTCATTAAAATGCAAATCAATTTATAACATTTTTGACATGCGTATTTCTGGATTTTTTGTTGTTATTCTGTCTCTCACTGTTCAAATAAACCTACCATTAAAATTATAGACTGATCATTTCTTTGTCAGTGGGCAAACGTACAAACTCAGCAGGGGATCAAATACTTTTTTCCCTCACTGTACATATGACCGGGGCAGCTCTAGCAGGGCAGAAATTTGACGAACTGACTTGTTGGAAAGGTGGCTTCCCATGACGGTGCCACGTTGAAAGTCACTGAGCTCTTCAGTAAGGCCATTCTACTGTCAATGTTTGTCTATGGAGATTGCATGGCGGTGTGCTCGATTTATACACCTGTCAACAACGGGTGTGGCTGAAATAGCCGAATCCACTAACTTGAAGGGGTGTCCACATACTTTTGAATATATAGTGGATGTTAATGGGATGATAGGCCTACATGTGTTTATGTATAATTATATCAACCAGTCGGTGGTAAAATTTCTCAATAAAATAGAACACACCAGCATATTGTAAGTACACCCTCGCTCTCTGACTGGAGAGCTGGAGAGAGAAAGAGAGAGAGAGAGGGTGGTAGGGTGGGGTAGAAGATGGAGATAGATCAAAAAGCAGAGGGCAGAGAGAGAGAGGCGGAATAAAACATCCGTGCACCTCTCTGCCAGATAGTGTTTGGGTGTTTGAGTGTGTTTTTGTGTGGGTATGTGCACGCCTGTGTCTATGTGAGAGTGTTTGTGTGTGCGCATGCCTCTGTGTGTGTGTGTGTGTGAGAGATGGTTTGCTGTGGCTGCGCGTGTTAATAGAGATGAGAGGTGCAGGGTCAGTGTGTGGTGTTGAATAATGTATGAGTTAGATTTGGCGGAGGGGTCCCAGGGGAGAGGAGGGCTATTGTAGCAGCCAGACTGCAGACATAAACAGGCCTGTCTCCCTGCCTGCGTCTCACACACACACACACACACACACACACACACACACACACACACCACACCGGTGCAGGCGCACACACACACACACACACACACACACACACACACACTCTGTAGTCTTCTGGGTAATACGTTTTCCACTCTAAATCCTGCCATTGTGGCAAGGTGACTGTAACAAGACTTCTGTGCTCTGGAGGGGACAGAGAGAGGGAACGGGAGAGGAGGGGATGAGAGGAGGAGGAGGAGGAGAGGGGGAAAGGAGTGAGAGAGGGAAGGGGAGGAGAGGGGAAGAGGAGAGGAAGAGGGGGATTTGGGAGGCTATTGTGGAAGAGTAGCAGAGGAGAGGTGAGAGCGAGGGAACATGAGGCGAGTGTTGAGAGGAGGGGAAAAGGGGGATTTGAGAGGCTAATATGGAAGGATAGCAGAGGAGGGGTGGGGGGGATTCCCCAGGGATGGGGGTGATGGGGGTTGGGGATGGGGAGTCTGCCTGATAAGGGGAGACAGACAGACAGTTAACACAGGATGCCGAAATTACTGCTGTTCTGCTGTTCCCTTCCTTCACAGGGAGAATTTTCTGATACATTTATCAAATTAGCCAGGACGCTACGAATGATTATTGATCTACCTTGATGGGATTCGTTTTTCAGAAGTCTATAAATTATTGCCAAATGGTTGCCATGAAGTATGATTATTATATTCTGTTGTTGTTGTAGTTGTCTTTCTTTCATGCATGGTTTGCAGTGCAACTCTATTATTTGTTTATCCGGATCCCCATTAGCTTTGGCAGAAGCAGCAGCTACTCATCCTGGGGTCCACAAGAAACACAAAACATAACAAGTAAGAAAACACTGATACACTGAAAGACAAAGACAGTCACCAAAATGTTAAATACAACAATATAAAAACAATACAACAACAAAAATAAGTGTGTGTTTGTGCGTGTCCCCTCACAGTCCCCACCGTTCCATGAGATGTTGTTTAATCCATTTTTTAAAGGGAATTTTGCTGTTTGCTTGAGTAATTGGAGATGGAAGGGAGTTCCATGCGATCATGGCTCTGTATAGTACTGTGTGTTGCCGTGAATTCGTTTTGGACTTGGGGACTGTGAAGACCCCTGGTGGCATGTCTTGTGGGGTATGTATGGGTGTCTGAGCTGAATGTTATTTCATTATGCAGACAATCTTGAATTTTTAATCACAGTAATATTTCCCATGAAAACTAAATGAGAAGCAGTTAATCTCTCGTCAACCCTCAACTAGGAAAGACTGGCATGCATGTTGTTGATGTTAGTTCTGTGTGTGCAGTTAAGGGCAAGGCATTCTGCTCTGTTTTGAGCCAGCTGCAGCTTTGCTAGGTCTTTCTTTGCTGCACTTGACCATATTAGCGGACAGTAATCAAGATGGGACAAGCCCAGAGCCTGAACAACCAGTACAATGGATTTTTGTGTCAAAAAAGCAGAACATATTTTTATAGCAGACATACCCCTCCCCATGTTCACAACAGTTTTGTCAATATGACTTGACCATGATAATTGACCATCCAATGTTATACCTGGGAGTTTAGCTTCTTCAGCTTGCTCAATGGTCACACCCTTTATGTACAACTCCAGTTGAGGTGTAGGTCTTAGAGAATGTTTTGAACCAAATACAATACTTTTAGTTTTAGATGTATTTAAGACCAGTTTTTTATTAATCTCCCATTCTGATACTGACTGTAACTCCTTATTTAGAATTTCAGTGAGCTCACTGGCTTTGGGTGCTGACATGTAGTGTGGAATCATATTGATAATTTAAAGGTACAGTATGTACATGTATACTGTATGTCAAGGAATGGTGTCCATCCTAGATGCAGTAATATTGGAAATATTTGTTTTCAGTTACTGTCATTCTCAAAGCAGTGACTCACTCACTCATTAACAGGATGTGTCTCACCCCGACCCCTTTTTTTCTGCCAATACTGTTTCGCTGACCTCTCTCTTTTCTCTCCCTTTCTCCGTGTTCTCTCCCCCTTCCTCCTCTCCCCTCTCCTCTCCAGAGTTGTGGGAGGTACCATTTGAGGACATCTCAGAGCTGCAGTGGGTAGGCAGCGGGGCCCAGGGGGCTGTCTTCCTGGGGAAACTCCACGGACAGGAAGTAGCGGTGAAGAAGGTCCGAGACATCAAGGAGACAGACATCAGACACCTGAGGAAGCTCAAACACCCCAACATCATCACCTTCAAGTGAGAATACTAGCAAAAATATCAGGGGTTTTCTTCTTCATCTGCTCATGTCGTCCCCAGTTTCCTATTTTCCTTGCCATTAGTCCCCAGATCTTTGTGTTCTGATCATGTATGCCTGTGTCTGGGTTGTCCATGTTTTTGTCTTATACTGGTGACAAACCACATTTCCCCTCAGAGAATCCGTAAGTTGTATTCATTAATTCCCTCCAGGGGTATGTACAGTAGGTTGTAAATAGTGATGATGTGTTCAGGGTCTTTCTGGCTCATTTCCTCAACCCTTCTATCATCCCACTGTTCCCTCTCTTCCCTACAAAGACGTAGATCGGTTATAAAAATAGATGATATGTTGAGTCATGTCTTTACTCACCCCCCTTCTCTTTTTCTCCTACCTATCCTCCCTCTCTCCCTCTCTAGGGGTATCTGCACCCAGGCTCCGTGCTACTGTATCCTAATGGAGTACTGTGCCCAGGGCCAGCTGTATGAGGTGCTAAGGGCGGGCAGGAAGATCACCCCCTCCCTGCTCATCGACTGGGCCATGGGCATCGCTGGGGGCATGAACTACCTTCACCTCCACAAGATCATCCACAGGGACCTCAAGTCACCCAAGTGAGTTCTACCTACATTGATAACTATACTTTAACTTCATTGTAGATCTGTTTGTGCTTGAGCCAACACCTCTGTTGTGTTCATTGTCATGCAAACATATGGTCATACACAAAGTAAATATCAAATTCTACGACTTATTTCCATTGAGGTTGTTTTAGTGTCCGTGTATCACGGTACCAGACCTCAACACCATATTCTCGTTAATGTCGTTTGAATAGTTATAGGACGGCTGGCGCTGTGGCTACCGTACATTTTCCTGACTGTGCCTGTTCCCTCCAGCATGTTGATTACGTACGACGACGCGGTGAAGATCTCCGACTTTGGCACGTCTAAAGAGATGAGTGATAAGAGCACCAAGATGTCATTCGCCGGTACGGTGGCCTGGATGGCCCCGGAGGTCATCAGGAACGAACCCGTCTCAGAGAAGGTCGACATCTGGTAAGAGTAAGGTCTCTCTCTCTCTCTCTCTCTCTCTCTCTCTCTCTCTCTCTCTCTCTCTCTCTCTCTCTCTCTCTCTCTCTCTCTCTCTCTCTCTCTCTCTCTCTCTCTCTCTCTCTCTCTCTCTCACTCTCACTCTCACTCTCACTCTCACTCTCACTCTCACTCTCTCACTCTCACTCTCACTCTCACTCACTTGGATTGGAACCAGGTGCTATGGTCTTTGGCCACGCACACAAGTGGTGGGTTTGGCATCGAAAGCAGGATACATATGCAGAAAATAACCTCATACCTACTGTAAAATATGGTGGTGGATATTTGATGTTATGGGGCTGTTTTGCTTCCAATGGTCCTGGGGCACTTGTTAAGGTCAACAGCATCATGAACTCTACCAAGTACCAGGACATTTTAGCCATAAACCTGGTTGACTTTGCCAGGAGGCTGAAACTTGGCCACAAGTGGATCTTCCAGCAAGACAATAACCCCAAGCACACATAAAAATCCACAAAGAAATGGTTAATTGATTTTAAAAAATATTAACATTTTGCATCACAGTATCCGGACTTGAACCTGTGGTTTTAATTGAAGAGGGCAGTCCATGAGCGCAGACCAAAGGATACCAAGGATCTGGAAAGATGCTGTATGGAGGAATGTTCTAACATCCATCCCAATGTGTTCTCCAATTTCATAAAGCATTATAGAAAAAGGCTTAGTGCTGTTATCCTTGCAAGGGGAGGGTGCACAAAGTATTGAAAATGGGTGGCAATACTTTTGAGACATACTGTATCTTTGAGATTTGTTTTTATTACTTGTTAAACAAAATATATTTCTCTGAGCAATTGTATTAGTATAACATAGTATCATTTTCTCATTTTTGGAGCATTACACAGTCTTTTTTGCTCATCTTTATCAAGGGTGCCAATAATTTAGAAGTGACTGTATGGTCAAAATGTTGGACTCTAAAAGGTTTTAGAACCGGGCAAAGCACCCTTGTTTTTAGCAGTATACTGTATCTGCTTTATCTATCTAATAGCACTACATCTCTTGGCCTCATGGTTATCTGTTCTGAGAGAAGGGATGATTTGAGGCGTTGTGTGTATCCTCTGTCCTGTCTGCACTAACATCTTCTGACATTTGGGCCAGAGAACTGGCTAAATATAAAAGAACATTGGGTTCTTTTTTGTTAGACAATAAAATGGGAGGACTCATTTGAGTGAGTGCTCCTTGTCTTTGGAAATATTAGACATATGCACTGTGACTATATGTGGTAGTGAAACAGCAAGGTTAGAACTTTCCCTCCCAGTACTTTCCTAATCCCTACCCTGTGACAGGTCTAAACTATCGTCCTACTCAGTGCCCTGTGCCAGGTATGTACCAGGTCTCCAGTACCTCCCTGCCCTGTGCCAGGCCTCCCCATGCTGCACCAATAATTGTCTCTCTCCAGATTAAACATTGAAGCACAAATTGAGCTACAGATTTAGGATCTTAAATTGAGCCAGTTTGCTACGGCAGGAAAATAATCCTGCAGCAACAGGAAATGTGAATTATGTGGATTATAATTAATGGACATTTCTGTCAGGGTTGATACATTTGTTGTAAGGTCAAATCAGGTCTGAAATTTCAAAGTGGAAATTACAAACTTTACAAGGCTTTTTCAACCTCAAATACACTACAAGTTTAAAATGTCCTGCACTGCTCTCTCCCTCCCACACAAAGCTATTGGTGCTTTCTCCCTCCCACACAATGCTATTGGTGCACTCTCCCTTCCACATGATACGATTGGTGCGTACCAGAGTCACCATGGCAATATAAGGTGCCATCAACAACAACACTTCCATAGTCCCTCAGCCTGCGTGTTATCCCCCAGCCTCTCCCCGACGATAGGGGCTGAGCCACACACTGGCCCTGAGCCAACCAAGCACCCTGACACCAGACAGGCTAGGGCATGGGTAGGCAACCCTGTTCCTGGAATTCCGCAGGTACTGCAGGATTTTGTTCCAACTAGGCACCACACCTGACCAACTGAGCTAATTGATCAGTTCAGTGATTGCCTAAATTCAACACACCTGGTCTTCCAGGTCGGCACTCCAGGACCAGGGAAGGCCAAATCAAATTTTATGTACACATATTTTGCAGATGTTATCGCAGGTGCAGCAAAATGCTTATGTTTCTAGCTTCCACATTGCAGTAATACCGAACAATAAAAAACAATACACACAAATCCCAAAAATAAAAAGAAAGAAATTAAGAAATAGCAGAGTCCGGAATATAAGTATATATGTATATGATGGTGTGTATAGTCAGTATGGACAGTATATGAATAGAAAAGGTTTGTACAGCAGTAGTTATAAAGGATGAGCCTTGACTAGAATACAGTATATACAAACGAAGTGGGTAAAACAGTATGTAAACATTATCAAAGTGACCAGTGTTCAATGACTACAGTGGGGAAAAAAAGTATTTAGTCAGCCACCAATTGTGCAAGTTCTCCCACTTAAAAAGATGAGAGAGGCCTGTAATTTTCATCATAGGTACACGTCAACTATGACAGACAAATTGAGGAAAAAAAATCCAGAAAATCACATTGTAGGATTTTTTATGAATTTATTTGCAAATTATGGTGGAAAATAAGTATTTGGTCACCTACAAACATGCAAGATTTCTGGCTCTCACAGACCTGTAACTTCTTCTTTAAGAGGCTCCTCTGTCCTCCACTCGTTACCTGTATTAATGGCACCTGTTTGAACTTGTAATCAGTATAAAAGACACCTGTCCACAACCTCAAACAGTCACACTCCAAACTCCACTATGGCCAAGACCAAAGAGCTGTCAAAGGACATCAGAAACAAAATTGTAGACCTGCACCAGGCTGGGAAGACTGAATCTGCAATAGGTAAGCAGCTTGGTTTGAAGAAATCAACTGTGGGAGCAATTATTAGGAAATGGAAGACATACAAGACCACTGATAATCTCCCTCGATCTGGGGCTCCACGCAAGATCTCACCCCGTGGGGTCAAAATGATCACAAGAACGGTGAGCAAAAATCCCAGAACCACACGGGAGGACCTAGTGAATGACCTGCAGAGAGCTGGGACCAAAGTAACAAAGCCTACCATCAGTAACACACTACGTTGCCAGGGACTCAAATCCTGCAGTTCCAGACGTGTCCCCCTGCTTAAGCCAGTACATGTCCAGGCCCGTCTGAAGTTTGCTAGAGTGCATTTGGATGATCCAGAAGAGGATTGGGAGAATGTCATATGGTCAGATGAAACCAAAATATAACTTTTTGGTAAAAAACTCAACTCGTCGTGTTTGGAGGACAAAGAATACTGAGTTGCATCCAAAGAACACCATACCTACTGTGAAGCATGGGGGTGGAAACATCATGCTTTGGGGCTGTTTTTCTGCAAAGGGACCAGTACGACTGATCCGTGTAAAGGAAAGAATGAATGGGGCCATGTATCGTGAGATTTTGAGTGAAAACCTCCTTCCATCAGCAAGGGCATTGAAGATGAAACGTGGCTGGGTCTTTCAGCATGACAATGATCCCAAACACACCGCCCGGGCAACGAAGGAGTGGCTTCGTAAGAAGCATTTCAAGGTCCTGGAGTGGCCTAGCCAGTCTCCAGATCTCAACCCCATAGAAAATCTTTGGAGGGAGTTGAAAGTCCGTGTTGCCCAGCGACAGCCCCAAAACATCACTGCTCTAGAGGAGATCTGCATGGAGGAATGGGCCAAAATACCAGCAACAGTGTGTGAAAACCTTGTGAAGACTTACAGAAAATGTTTGACCTGTGTCATTGCCAACAAAGGGTATATAACAAAGTATTGAGAAACTTTTGTTATTGACCAAATACTTATTTTCCACCATAATTTGCAAATAAATTCATTAAAAATCCTACAATGTGATTTTCTGGAGAAAGAAAATCTCATTTGGTCTGTCATAGTTGACGTGTACCTATGATGAAAATGACAGGCCTCTCTCATCTTTTTAAGTGGGAGAACTTGCACAATTGGTGGCTGACTAAATACTTTTTTTCCCCACTGTATGTACATAGGGCAGCAGTCCCTAAGGTACAGGGTAGAGTACCGGGTGGTAGCCGGCTAGTAACAGTGACTAAGTTCAGGGCAGGGTACTGGGCGGAGGCCGGCTAGTAGTGACTATTTAACAGTCTGATGGCCTGGAGATAGAAGATGGTAGCGGGGGGAACAGGCCATGGCTCGTGTCGCTGAGGTCCTTAATGATCTTTCTAAAGGCAATTCACAATCCAATTCCAAACTTGCCTTGATGCCACAGGTAGGTGATGCCGTAGTCAGACGAGCTTCCAAAGCAACCACAGAACAGGGACTCCAAAGCTCCAATAGTGTAAAAACAAACATTTAACAAAAGGTAATTTCATAGGCTATATTCCATCGATGAACAAAGTCAAAGCGATCAGATTTAAACTGTAAACAAAAGATATAGACTAGTAGCAGCTTTCTTAGTTCCAAGTCGTAGTGTAACAGTAGAAAACAGTAAGGTACCACCATACCTGAGGCCTAGTAGACCCATACTGCAAAAAAACAGTAAGGTACCACCATACCTGAGGCCTAGTAGACCCATACTGCAAAAAAACTAAAAAGGGAAGGGGAACATGGGGAAAAAAGGGGTGTGTCCAGGAAAGGCTCCATAATGCTTTTAAATACCCATGATAATCATAATAGAAAACCCAAAACATGAGTTCATCAACCATAATTCATAATGAAATATTTATACTTATATTCAATAATATAATTTTTCTAAATGGATTAAAAAAAACAATAAATATAGCACAAAGGAAGAAAATGAGAATTTGGCTCCAACAATCTTCTTGGCCTTCCTTTGACACCAGGTGCTGTAGATGTACTGTAGGGCCAACAGTGCGCCTCCGGTAATGGGTTGGGCTGACCGCACCACCCTCTGGAGAGCCCTGCGGTTGCGGACGGTGCAATTGCCGTACCAGGCGGTGATACAGCCCGACAGGATGCTCTCAATGGTGCATCTGTAGAAGTTTGTGAGGGTCTTAGGGGCCAAGCTGAAATTCTTCAGCCTCCTGGGGTTGTAGCGCCTTCTTCACCACATTGTCTTCAGCCTCTCCACTGCGACCCCGTCGATATAGATGTGGGGTGTGCTTCCTCTGCTGTCTCCTAAAATCCACGGTTAGCTCCTTCATTTTGTTGACGTTGAGGGAGAGATATTTTCCTGTCATCACTCCGCCAAGGCCCTCACCTCCTCCCTGTAGGCTGTCTCGTCGTTGTTGGTAATCAGGTCTACCACTGTTGTGTCATCTGCAAACTTGATGATTGAGTTGGAGATGTGCGTGGCCATGCAGTCATGGGTGAACAGGGAGTACAGGAGGAGGCCCAGCACGCACCCTTGTGGGGCCCCCGTGTTGAGGATCAGCGTAGCGGAGGTGTTGTTGCCTACCTTCACCACCTGGGGTCGGCCCATCGGGAAGTCCAGGACCCAGTTGCACAGGGTGAGGTTCAGACCTAGGGCCCCAATCTTAGTGATGACCTTGGAGGGCACTATGGTGTTGAAGGCTGAGCTGTAGTCGATAAACAGCATTCTTACATAGGTATTCCTCTTGTCCAGATGGGATAGGGCAGTCTGCAGTGTAATGGTGAATGCGTCATCCGTGGATCTGTTGGGACGGTATGCAAATTGTAGTGGGTCTAGGGTGCCAGGTAAGGTGGAGGTGATATGATCCTTAACTAGCCTCTCAAAGCACTTCATGATGACAGAAGTGAGTGCTATGGGGCGATAGTCATTTAGTTCAGTTACCTTCGCTTTCTTGGGTACAGGAACAATGGTGGACATCTTGAAGCAATTGTGTACAACAGACTGGGATAAGGAGAGATTGAACTGGTCTGCACATGCTCTGAGGACACGGCTTGGGATGCCGTCTGGGCCGGCAGCCTTGCGAGCGTTAACACGCTTACATTTCCTACTCACGTCGGCCACGGAGAACGAGAGCTCACAGTCCTCATGATCAGCGGTGGCCTGCGTCAGCGGCCAGGGGAACACAGTACACACATAAACACAGGCTGTCTGACTGACCCCTTTACTACTCACAATCAAACATGTACACCGCTTTATGTTCATTGTGTGTTAGTTCAGAGATGAAAACAACATTGGAAAAAGCACGGAGGGTACATAAAAGAGGAGACAAACACAAGGGGAGGAGTGATGTGTTGTCTTATAAAACGTGTGTACTAGATTGGTTTCAGACTGTCTTTATTGTATAATAATAATTTATTGCATTTACATAGTGCCTTTCCACCTACAGTAGGTGCTAAAAGTGCTTTACATGGTAAGGGGGGAAACTCACATCTTCCACCACCAATGTGTAACACCCACTTGGGTGATGCATGGAAACCATTTTGTTCAAGAACACTCACCACACATCAGCTATCATGGTGGAGAGGTGAGGCGTGATATATGCCAATCAGGAATCAGTGAGATGATTGGGAATTTGGCCAGGCACCCTACGCAGAGCAATGTCCCCTTCACTGCCCTGAGATCTCAGACCAGAGGGAAGAGCCCTCTACTTGCCATCCAACACCACTTCCAGCCCCATCTGGTCTCCCATCCAGGGACTGACCAGGACCAACCCTGATTAGCTTTAGAGACAGGCCAGCAGTAGGATGCAGGGTGGTATGCTGCTGGCATATGCTATGGTATGGAAAGGTTAGTCTTAAAGATTAGTTGGAGCTCATGCATGTCTCTCTCTCTTTCACTCTAGGTCGTTTGGTGTGGTGCTGTGGGAGATGCTAACAGGAGAGGTGCCGTATAGAGATGTGGACTCCTCGGCCATCATCTGGGGAGTGGGCAACAACAGCCTGAACCTGCCCGTCCCAGAGACCTGCCCAGATGGATTCAAAATACTGCTGCGACAGTGCTGGTGAGATAGAGGAATGGGAGGGAGGTAGAGAGGTAGGAAGGGAGGGGGAAAAGGGTGGGAGGTAGAGAAATGGAGAGATGGATGAAGGGGAGGAGGAGGGAGGTGTGGAGGAAAGGCCATAAACATGGCAGTAACTGAGGAGGAGATAAAACATTTTTAAGAGTAGCTTTCATGAAAAAACTGTTTTTTCATCGAAAACCAGATGTTTTAGGCTTAGTTATAGTAAAATATGTCAATTCTGGTCTTCATTTTGACAGTTTGTTGCAAAAGTGATATACACTACATGGCCAAAAGTAGGTGGACACCCTTTCAAATTAGTGGATTCAGCTATTTCAGCCACACCTGTTGCTGACAGGTGTATAAAATCGAGCACACAGCCATGCAATCTCCATAGACAAACACTGGCAGTAGAATGGCCCGTACTGAAGAGCTCAGTGACTTTCAACGTGGCATCGTCATAGGATGCCACCTTTCCAACAAGTCAGTTCATCAAATTTCTGCCCTGCTAGAGCTGACCCAGTAAACTGTAAGTGCTGTTATTGTGAAGTGGAAACGTCTAGGAGCAGCAACGGCTCAGCCGTGAAGTGATAGGCCGCACAAGTTCACAGAACGGGACCGCCGAGTGCTGAAACGCGTAGCGCGTAAAAATAATCAGTCCTCGGTTGCAATACTCACTACCGAGTTCCAAACTGCTTCTGGAAGCAACATCAGCATGATAACTATTCGTCGGGAGCTTCATGAAATGGGTTTCCATGGCCGAGCAGCCACACACAAGCCTAAGGTCACCATGTGCAAGGCCAAGCGTCGGCTGGAGTGGTGTAAAGCTCGCAGCCATTGGACTCTGGAGCAGTGGAAACGCGTTCTCTGGAGTGATTAATCACGCTTCACCATCGGACGGACGAATCTGGGTTTGGCGGATGCCAGGAGAATGCTACCTTCACCAATGCATAGTGCCAACTGTAAAGTTTGGTGGAGGAGAAATAATGGTCTGGGTGTCCACATACTTTTTGTTGGTCTTTCAGTTGTAAATCTAGCTCTTTTTGCCCGTAGCGGTTCAACTCTACCATTGAAATCGTGATGTAGAGGCACCTTGAGATGGTGCCTCTACGTCTGGGTTCAAAAACAGGTCGATTGCAAGCTACCTGCTTTTTAAATATTTTATTTACAATATTCATCCGATGTGCACACACATCTTTTTCTGAAAGTGAAAGCATACCTGTGAGAGGGGTGGTAGTAGTTGTAGGTTGTTATACTGTACCCATTACCAATCTGTGAGTAATTTGACCATTGGAAAAGAAAGCTACTGTGTAAATACTGCGGGTTGGATTGAATTGAGCCCCTAATCTTAATTCTCACAGTGATGATAGCATTTTTCTTCCTAACACAATACTGCAATAAATGTGAGTCCCCAAGATTTTTTTTGCACCCATGGGGCATTCGAATTGGCAATAGATGTCAGGAACTCGCTATATTACCACTGTAAGCTAACTATCCAGAGCCATATTTGCTTGTGACGCACATACGTTTATTATCAGAGTATGCCAGTGGACTTCTGGTATGTATGCTAGTAAGAAACTGTTGGGATCAGGTACAACTACATTTACCCATTCCCAAAATGTGTATTTATGAGCATTTCTCCCCACCCACAACTTCTCACCTGAATGCATTTTTTTTATTTATTTGAAGTGGTTGTGCAAAGGCTGAAATTGGGGTTGATAGTTACCCTTTAAAGGTAGAAGTAGACATGTTCTAATGTTGTTGTTTTTTCTGGTCCCAGGAGCTGTAAGCCCAGGAACAGACCTTCGTTCCGTCAGATCCTCCTACATCTGGACATCGCTTCAGCTGACCTGCTGTCTACCCCACAGGAGACATACTTCAAATCTCAGGTAAAGTAGAGCCCAGTAAAGTACAGTAGATTACTGCTCTCTAACCCTAACCCCACAAGAGACATACTTCAAATCTCAGCTACAAGTAAATAGAACACTAGAATCGACATTGGCATTCCGGCAACATTACTACAGGATGGCCATTTAGAAATTAAACTTTCATTGTACAGTTGAGTAAGTTAGCATTTTGTCCACAAGTGTACCCACATTTCTATTATATGTAAATAGTTTATGTTTAGTGAATGCCATAATATAGTTATTTTGTTAGATACTTCTCCCTATTAGCTGAAATCTCAAAGCCATTTGAGCTGTCGCGATAGCTGTTCGGTCCAAACAGATTCACAAATCATGGGAATTTGTGGGAATTTGTCAGGTTAGAGGCAAATTACCCACAAAATGTATTTGCTAGATTCATGTCGTTTTATTGGGATTCGCAGCTGTTGTTGGTAAGTAATGACTCTTCTGAAATAACTTACTCATCCTTTAAATGCCCACACCAGTAGAAATCTACTTTTTCAAGCTGAAAGACGATGGCCAGAGCTTACCCATGATGTTGCACAACGATTTAAGTCAATTAATCATCATTTTAGTCAACGTATGATATATTTGGGCTTGAAGTGACAAATCCTAACTGCCCACTTCTTGCAAATCCACGTCAATGTTGTGTCTTTTCCTATGAGATGAAATACAAATTATTTTTAGCCTACGTTTTGTTTCAGGGCTGGGTTTTATTTAAATTTTACCACCCACCAGCATGGTCTGAATGTTTTTATATTAATTAGAAACACCTGCAAAGTTATTCCTCTTCACGACTGAGCCAAACAGCCTTTCGATGTCCACTTGCTATTGCTCCTGCTTTATACAGCTACTTTGCACTCTATTTTGCACTCTATATCTATATATCAATCTGTCTATCTGTCTAAATCCATTTGTCTGTTTGTAGCTTTGTCCAAGTTTATCTGTCCACTTCTGTATCTGTTTGTCTGTTTGTAGCTTTATACGTTTGTCTGTCTGTCCATTTGTGCAATGCCCTGCGGCTACGGTGCGTGTAGGGTTGCCGGTTGAAACATCAAAGACTGGGGTTTGTATGAGTTGCCCTCCCCATGTCTCCATCCTCATGTTTACCGCCAGTGGATCACTTTCCTCAGCTTGGTAGAGTCGGAAGAAACTGTACGTGTGTCAGTCTGCAATGCGCATATCACCTGGGATTCCATTTTGAATTACTTGCCGGTGGAGCTGGGCTTTCAAATGAGGCTTTGACTCAATGAAGATGCTGTTCCGACCATCTACCCGGACGGCGAGACTGTAAGTAAAAGAGAGCTTCTCAGCTAGCTAGTTAGCTGATCAAATGTACATTCTAAACTTGCCTCTTCTACAATAGTTAGCTACATCATTACATGAAATGCTTACGTAATAAGCTAGCTAGCTAACGACGTTAGCTCAGCTGTGATAAATGTATGATATCAAAACATCCGAATGAAGTGAGTTCAGTTCAAGTTAGCTAGCTAGCTACCAAACTATTTGGTTTAGGGCAAAACGTATCCAAAACTTTCGAGGTTACAATGTACATATATTTACAGGTTTCTAGCACAAGAGAGATTGCTCCCAGACAGACCCGCCACAGGTTTGTAATTTCTCTGCGAAAGCATCCCCACAAAGGAGGAGCAAGGGTGAGTTTATGACGCTCAAGTAGAAACTACAGTGGTGCTGATAACAACACATCAACAAGAATAATTAACTAGTTGGCTTGGCTATTCCCTTTGCCTCTCCCCACCTATTCAGATGTAATGTTACCTCATGTTACTGTTGTTACTGACATACTTAACATTCAGATGACTTCAAATACAGGCATACTGTGTAATGAAAACCAAATTAAGCAGCAATATCAACACAAATCGCTATCTGAGGTAGGGTTCAGTGGAGCTGTGGAGAGTGTGAGAGGGACAGGCTGCACTCGGGTAGGGAAGGGCTTTGGGGGCAGACAGTTTGACTGGACTTGCCAATGTTAATGAGATAATTAACTGCCTAACTTCTGTAGCCTACAGTTCACCAGATTATCAAACGTGTCATTTTGCCTGTTTATCACCACAAAGAGTTGCATGTGGATGGCAATCCATGATTGGAGTATCACAGAGATACCAAAAAATCAGTCTTTCTGCATAATTTACAGCCACCCAGTTCCAGCCAAAGCAGAAGAGCGTGTCTTGCAATATAGCAAAACTGCTGTGCATGCCTGAAACCTCAGCTCCTTGCATTCCAGTAAAAAGGCCAAGAGTGGACTATTCCAGCGATGACTCCAGTTATCACCCTGATGATGACACAAACACCATCTGCGATGGCGAACTGTAAGATGACACTGTAGTGAGCTTGTAATGTTATTTTTATGATTAGATGTGTTGTAGTACTGACCCATTTGATTAGTGAACTGTATTGCTGTGCCAAAATACTACATGTAGACTAATGTAGACAGGGAAAAAAGTGTACCTCATACCGGCAACTTTTTATCACTATTACAGAGTCCTTAACACACCTGTTCACATGTTGAGGAATTACATTGTGTTCGAAGACTGTCTGCTGCAGCTTTTCCACTCCTGTCCGGTTTGCACCAGAACATACAACATCACAAAGCGGTTCAGAGGCACCCTCATCTCCATTGTCCAGATATGCCCTCAGTGCGACCACACCAAGACGTGGAAGAGTCAACCGTATGTGCCCTGCAGGCAACCTCTACCTGACTGCAGCTATTGCTTTTAGTCCTCTTCTTTTGCTCAGACAAACAAGATAAAGCAAAATATGTTGTAGTGTAATCTAAAACCTTTAATGTAAGTACATAATGCTGAAGTACTTTTTGATGTGCTTTATTTCTGAGCTAGAAGTGCAGACCATATCTGAATCGACTTTCTACAGCCATCAGAAAACGGTCCTGCTTCCAACCATATATTGGCAGTGGAAGTCAGAGCAGAGAGTCGTCCTCCAGAAGTCTGTCGGGGAACCTGTGGATCTTGGAGGGGATGAGAGCAGACTCGCCTGGCCACGGTGCAAAATTTGGTTTGAAAAATGTTTTTGCATGCTGTCCACTATTGAATTCCATGTGGAGAAAGGCACACATGCCTACATG